CCCCCCCCTGCAGAATGACGGGCTGCCCGCTCTGGTGACTCTGAAGAAGGGGCTGGTGGCACTGGCTCGCCAGTGGATGAAGTTCATCGTGGTGACCCAGGGCTTTAAGGCAGTGGGGCTGATGCGGCCCGCCCAGCCGCCCAAGCCCAGCGAGCCCTCACCCCATCCTGACGGCGGGCCGGGCCTGCAGAGCGACACCAGCGCTGATGGAGCCGAGTTTGAGTTTGATGCAGGTCAGTACTGCCATCGTAATACCTGGAACACTGTGAGAGTACAACAGTATGTTTGAAGTAGCAACATATGAGTAAACCCACAGGAGTATGAGATTCTTTGGAGTATTGTAGGTGTTGATTGTATGAGTGAACCTACAGGAGTATGAGCTCCTTTGGAGTACTGTAGATATCGAATGTATGAGTAAACTCACAGGAGTATGGGCTTTTTTGGAGTACTGTAGGTATCGAATGTATGAGTAAACTCACAGGAGTATGGGCTCTGCTGATGTACCAAGTAAATCTCTGCATTTCTACAGAAATTGTGCATGGATGTGTAACTCTAAACCTCTGTTGTAGCTGCAGTGAGTGAACACACCATGCTGCTGGAAGGGGCCTGTAATCGCCCTCCCCAAAGTGGGGGCAACTCTGGGCCTGTCAGTGGGGTGGAAATTATGAGAAAGCTCTCCAAGTCGCACACCCACAGCGAGTCTGCTCTCAGGATCAAGGTCTGTTTTTCCTCGTTACATGAAAGTCTCTGTGTAGATGTTGGGCTGTGTGTATCAGCCTTTCACTCTTTTCCATAGGGGATGCATTCCTAGACCTACCAAGGATAGCAGTGAACATCATATACATGTATAACTTGTTTTTCATGTACATACATACCTAAGAGAAAGTGTAATTTGTAAATTACGCACAGTACAACATCAACAGTAATAATTAATAATAAAATGAAGCAATTCTAACAATATTATGTAATAAAAATTACGTGTTTGTGGTCTCGCACTCTCTCACGAATGAACGGGATTCTGATATTATGGCTTAACGCTCAAAAGACGATGGAGCAATGAAAATGATCTTGTACACAACATTTTAACATCAATGTGGAATTTCATATCTTATATCATAGGTTATTGTCTTGTCACCCTCCGTTTAACGTTTTTGGGCCACGGTAAACCATAGATAACTGAAGCCATGGTTCCCAAAGCAGCAGATTTTGGGGGTCCCGCTGTGAAACACACTGGCTGCTTCCTGTGGTTTATATTGCAATGATAGTAAGTCAGGGGCACTGGGACATTAACAGGAAGTGAGGTACACATTAACAGGAAGTGAGGTATTTATTAACAGGAAGTGAGGTACACACTGAGACTTGCGTATCGCCCTTGCCGCCCAGGGCTCGCACCCGTACCAGTCCCTGAGCTACACCAGTGGCGACACCGCGGCCGACTCCCCAGCCCACGTGGGTCGGCCCCCGCCCCTGGCCCAGCCTAAGGACAGCCCCCGCAAGGAGAGCCTGCTCAGCTACCTGACGGGCAGCTTCCCCAGCCTGCACAATCTACTGGAGGGCACACCACAAAGGAGCAGCTCTCTGACGCGCGGGGGTAGGCCGCATGCCGGGGGGGAATGGCCTGCAGGGGGCAGCGTGGCTAAAGCATCATTCAGATTTCTGTCCTGAGTTTTCCTTGGTAAATTCCGAGTATAGACCAGAGTGTAGTTCTAAAATGTATCCGTGCTGAAATTCATCCTAAATTCCTTGGGAAGGTGGAAATAAATTACCTGTAATTAGCGGTAAGTAAATAAAACAGGACAGTATTAACGAATTAGTCATTCAGCTACACACGCAAGTAACAAGTTTCTTGGGGTGATTAATCAGGACTGGCTGAGTCATTATTCTTTTAAATAAATGGCCTCTTCAGAGGGTCTATACAGGCGAAGGTCTCTGCTTGATGATGCAAATGTTAATGGAACGGTTGATGTTAATGGTTCTGCCAAAGTAGATCAAATATTCAGTTATTTTACAGAAAGTGTATATGGGGATCTATTGTGACTGTGAAAGTAATTACAGTACCTCTTTTGTGGGTCTGACACTTATATACACTCAGCATCTGACGGAATGTGTTTAAGGCCATCTACAACCCCA